TGTGATTTCAATATGGCAGCCTTTAGTGGCAGTAAATGTGATTTCAATATGGCAGCCTTTAGTGGCAGTAACTATGATTTTTATATATGGCAGCCTTAAGTGGCAGTAACTGTGATTTCAATATGGCAGCCTTTAATGGTAGCAACTGTGGCTTCAATAAGGCAGCCTTTAATGGTAGCAAGTGTGACTTCAATATGGCAGCCTTTAATGACAGTAACTGTGATTTCAATATCGGCAGCCTTTAATGGTAGCAACTGTGACTTCGATATGGCAGCCTTTAATGGCAGTAACCGTCTTTTCAATGGTAAGCAACTGTGATTTCAATATGGCAGCCTTTAATGGTAGCAACTGTGACTTCAATATGGCAGCCTTTAATGACAGTAAGTGTGACTTCAATATGGCAGCCTTTAATGACAGTAACTGACTTCAATATAGCAGCCTTTAATGACAGTAACTATGATTTCAATATGGCAGCCTTTAATGACAGCAACTGTGACTTCAATATGGCAGCCTTTACTGACAGTAACTATGATTTCAATATGGCAGCCTTTAATGACAGTAACTGTGATTTCAATATGGCAGCCTTTAGTGGCAGTAACTGTTATTTCAATATGGCAGCTTTTAGTGGCAGTAACTATGATTTCAATATGGCAGCTTTTAGTGGCAGTAACTGTGATTTCAATATGGCAGCCTTTAATGACTGTAACTGTGACTTCAATATGGCAGTCTTTAATGGCAGTAACTGTGACTTCAACATGGCAGCCTTTATTGGCAGTAACTGTGACTTCAATATGGCAGCCTTAAAAAACCATCAGCTGCCAATAGTTTTGTAAAGGATTATCTACGTAATTCTGAGCCATAATGACCTGTTTGGCACCAAATGTCAAGTTAAAGGGCCATACACTTGAACTTCATAGCCTGCAAATAGCTGGAAAATAATTTTTGTTTCCACAAAGATCATTTGGTTAATGGGTTAAAAAAGTATGAAAAATCATGGAAGTACTCACCATTCATTCGACATAAAGAATTAAACTGATATTCTTCAAAAAATATTTCATTCATTGCTTCTTGTATGGAAGAAAAATTGAAATAGGGTTCACCAATAATTATGCTATGCTCACTACATTTTGCATTCAGGACATCTTTACCAAATATATTATCCCATACTTGCCTTTGAACATCCCAGTTTATTAGGTAACCCTGCAGAGGTCAAGTGAAAAATGGTTAAGAAGCAATAATAGCTAAAAATTGTATTATTATTTATTTATGCTTTGTAAATTGGAGATATATTTAAATTTGATAATCAGCTGCCTTCTATGGCCCAAGGTATGTGATAAAAACAATTACAGTATAATGTTGCATGGAGCAAAGAACGTGTATATGGTGAGTGCAATATCTCATGGTGCAATTTATGATTTTATATATTTTTGACTTACTAGTTCTATATCTTCCATTTGTATTACAAGTTACCCTTATGCCTTTACTTTTTCAACTCCACACTCATTTTTAGGGTAGGTTACCCAGGTCAACAAAATTCCCTCTTCATGCGGATATTATTAGGATAAAAGTTTTTCATTTGGAAAATATTCTCACAATATATTTACAAAATGTGTTCACATCTAAATATTTATTAAATGAAGCTTTTGTTAAAGTTACATAAGCTGTGAAGCAAAACTGTTTTAAAAAATGGGAAACACATAAATCAGTGTTACATAAAGATACAAATGTGCCCGACAAGATCAATTGTTTAAGCACTTAAAATGCAGTTTTTTTTTACAAAGGCAGAAATAAGGTCTGAGTTTGAATCAAACATCATGCAACGAGCAAACACGCAGTTTTAGAGTTAGGGTTAGGGATGGAGGGGGGAGGTACAAGAATGGAACTTTTTCCCTACATTATTCTAAAAGTTTTCTGATACTTGTCGTAGAGGTCGTCGTTATTTGTGATTTGTGGGTTCTACTTCGTTCGAACCTATCTACGGTCGCTTAGCTATAAGATTTCGATCAAAGTTATCCTACCTTTATTCTGTATTTGTTGGCGTTTGTTTTTAAGTTTTCCCGTACCGGTAATTAAAGTAAACATGGGACTATGAACCCATGACTCGGCTACTCGGCATCAAAACAACACGTGAATGACGTACCTTCTGCATTGGTAGAACATAGAAAAGCCCAGAGAGATCTTTGCACTCATCTATCTGGTTCCCAATAAACTGTTTCCTTCGTTCACTTTTCGCCTTCATTAGACAATTCGGAATTTTTTTAGGCTCTTTCTCGCTAGCGTAACCAACTTTGGCGGTGTATGCCCCGTTGTCTAACACGATGGCCGCCATCTTTGCTATTCAAATTAAAAAAGCTAGGGAGTTTAGTCGAAAACGAAAGGTTGTGTAACGTTGTAAATTGAGGGCGTTATATGTTATTACTCGTACATGTATATTATCATGCACAAACAAAATGAATGGTAATCATTATTAGCATTCTGTCTAGCTACGATAGAACTGTCATCTTTTGTCAAGCACCATTCACATCAAAACATTCGATGTTCATTGACTTTTGATGTGAAAATAATTTCTAAAATCATTACGTTTATTTTGCTCTGTGTTTATCTTCCACCCACAATACGAATGACAATCTAGAGGAGTATCCGACTATTCATTCAAAGTTGCGACACGTTTCAGGCCCGTAGTTTTGGGGGGGGGGTTCGG